TAGTACCTCGGTTTTAACAACCAGGGTAACATTGCTAGTAGCTCTGCTTTACAACCGGGGTAACATTTGCTAGTAGCCTCTGCTTTACACCAGGGTAACATTTGCTAGTAGCCTCTGTTTTACACCAGGGTAACATTGCTAGTAGCCTCTGCTTTAAAACCAGGGTAACAGTTGCTGGGTAGCCTCTGCTTTACACCAGGGTAACATTGCTAGTAGCCTCTGCTTTACACCAGGGTAACACTTGCTATTTAGCCTCGGCTTTACACACCGGGGAAACATTTGCTATAGCCTCGCTTTACACCAGGGTAACATTTGCTGTAGCCTCGGCTTTACACCGGGGTAACATTTGCTAGTAGCCTCTCTTTACACCAGGAAACTTTTTGCTAGTAGCCTCGGCTTTACACCAGGGTAACATTTTAGTAGCCATGGCTTTACACCAGGGCAACATTTGCTAGTAGCATCGGCTTTACACCAGGGTAACATTTGCTAGTAGCCTCGGCTTTACACCAGGGCAACATTTGCTAGTAGCCTCGGCTTTACACCAGGGTAACATTTGCTAGTAGCCTCTGCTTTACACCAGGGTAACATTTGCTAGTAGCCTCGGCTTTACACCAGGGTAACATTTGCTAGTAGCCTCGGCTTTACACCAGGGTAAGATTTGCTAGTAGCCTCGGCTTTACACCAGGGCAACATTTGCTAGTAGCCTCGGCTTTACACCAGGGTAAGATTTGCTAGTAGCCTCGGCTTTCACTAGGGTAACATTTGCTAGTAGCCTCGGCTTTACACCAGGGAAACATTTGCTAGTAGCCTCGGCTTTACACCAGGGTAACATTTGCTAGTAGCCATGGCTTTACACCAGGGCAACATTTGCTAGTAGCCTCGGCTTTACACCAGGGTAACATTTGCTAGTAGCCTCGGCTTTACACCAGGGTAACATTTGCTAGTAGCCTCTGCTTTACACCAGGGTAACATTTGCTAGTAGCCTCGGCTTTACACCAGGGCAACATTTACTAGTAGTCTCGGCTTTACACCAGGGTAAGATTTGCTAGTAGCCTCGCTTTACACAGGCAACATTTGTGCTAGTAGCCTCGGCTTTACACCAGGGTAAGATTTGCTAGTAGCCTCGGCTTTACACCAGGGTAACATTTGCTAGTAGCCTCGGCTTTACACCAGGGCAACATTTGCTAGTAGCCTCGGCTTCACACCAGTGTGGCATGCAAAGAGTACGTAACCTTTATTCGGCGCATGTACACACCCTCATTTACAGGCTATCTCCCCCAACCAGCGAACCAGGTTGCTAATAGTTGATGATGGGCCCGCCGTTCAACTAGTGACCAGGTTTCTAGCCAATAAGAAGATGGTTTTGGCAATCGCAGAGGTTATGTGGGTACCACTCTCCTGCTGCCCTTGTCATTCCCATTCTAGAGCTGGTTTGAAGCACGGTCTTTCTTGTGCTTCTATTCTGCCTTGCTTACCGTGGAGTGCACTATACTTATCACTGTACATAGTGTACATATTGCTGTTCTAAATTTGTGAAGGATAATATAAGTCAAAACTTTTCTGCTGTGTTTATTTTGCTCCCTTTACACCCAGGATAACAGGCCATTTGGACTCCTGGGTTGTAATAACCAGCGTAACATTTTGTAGTAGCTTCGGCTTTACACCAGGGTAACATTTGCTAGTAGTTTTCGGCTTTACAACAGAAAACCTTTTCTGGTGCATATGGAGGATGACAAAGTTGATCCCATGTATCAGAAATCTTCCCTATGAGGATAGACTGAGGACCCTGAAACTGCACTCTCTAGAAAGGCGCAGAATTAGGCGGGGATATGATTGAGGTGTATAAATGGTAAACAGGAATAAAGGGATGTAAATAACGTGCTGAAAATATCTATCATAGACAGGACTCGCAGCAGTGTCTTTAAGTTGGAAAAATTCAGATTCAGGAAGGATATAGGAAAGCACTGGTTTGGTAATAGAGTTGTGGATGAGTGGAACAAACTCCCGAGAACAGTTATTCAGGCTAAGACGTCGTGTAGTTTTAAAAAATAGGTTAGATAAATACATGAGTGGGTGTGAGTTGGACTTGACTAGCTTGTGCTACTAGGTCATGTGCCGTGCACCTTCCTTAAGTGAATGTGACCTAACATGACTAGGTTGGGGAGCTGGCTTAAGCCGGTAGGAGAATTGGACCTGCCTCGCAGGGGCCAGCAGGCCTGCTACAGTGTTCCTTCTTATGTTCTTCTCAGTATTGGACAGAATATTCAGCACATATAACAATAATACATAATAATATAGAGTTAAAATATTACATTTATGATCAAGTTAAACAACATATTTAACACATGAACATATTTAAAAAAGTATTATATTTAACACATTATAATGAAAACTTAGCAGAAAATAAACATTATAAAACATATTAAGTATGTTATAATACATAATACATTATGATACACTCTGTATGAAATAATATTAAATTTATTTTACACATTGTAAACATATCTGGCAATATTAAGACATATATTTTTTCTGAACAGATAGAAGAATGTGAGGAAGACTTGGACGTTATACACAGTGCACTGGACCTGGAACCTGGAGATGAAGGTGAGTAGTGGTGGGTGGTGGTGGTAGGGTGGGTGGTGGTGGTGGTGGAGGTGGCGGTGCTGGTGGTTTGGTTGTGGTGGTGAGGTGGTGTGTGGTAGTGGTGGTGGGGGGGTGGTGGTATTGGAGGTAGTGGTGGTGGTGGTGGTGGTGGTGGGGGTGGGGTGACAGTAGTGGTGGGTACCACTACTATCACCACTACCACCACCACCACTATCACCACTACCACCACCACCACTACCACCACCACCACCACTATAAACCATTAGAATTCAGTATGAATTATTAGTGCTTCAGGATTACAACTGGTAGGCTACTAACTGGAGAAATTAAAATTAATAAATTTATTAATCATGTCTAGAGGTATATTATCAATTAAATTAAATTAAATAATCACAGTAATCAAAATAATATTAATCACTTCTCTCATTTACAGTATTGCTGATAGCACGTTACAAAAAAGGGCGATTCTAAAAGCTTAGAGATCTCCAGTGAATACTAGAAAGGACTGCCCTTCTACATCCAGCCTGTTACTGGGTTTTCGTAACCAAGTAGTCAGTATCCTTGTTTCAATTATCCTTTAAAAATTCAGTATTATTCAATAGTGCTTCAGGATTACAACTGGTAGGCTACTAACTAGAGAAATTAAAATTTAATAAATTTATTAAGTCTAGAGGTATATTATCAAATTAAATTAATAAACAGCAATCAAAATAAAATCAATCTCTCGAGTTCAATATTATTGTGCTGAAAGCACATATCACATTTATAATTCTTAAGTACCGTCTGGAACATTAACATTTAATAAGATATTACAAATATGTACAAGTAAGTGTGTATGTGGCGTAAGTGCTCTTAAGTAGTTTCGCTATGTCTCAAGACTCGAATAAGACTTAAACAAGTGACCGACAAAGTTCCTCAAATAAACAACTTCTTGACCGACTGGCAACCCGAACAGTCTGCTTGAACAACAAAGATGCTAAGCCCAATAGCAATGCAATATGCGACTGCGACACAGAATCGGGAAAACTGGGAGATAATATAACGACACTAAGTAGGGACCATCAGCAGATCCTCCACAAAAGTTACAAAATTTCCCCATACTACTGAATCAAGTTCACCCATAGGAAAAACCCGACTGTGACAATACACAAAACCAGTACAAAATTAGGTCAGAAGCTACAGCAAAGGGACCTGAGATGCTCAGAGTGTCTATGTGACTCACACCTCATTACAACGTCAAAAATCACGAAGTCTATACAATGTTCTGTGAACAGAGTTCAACAGAACTACAAGAATAATGAGACAGACAATCTGTCCAACCACCAAGCGAGTCTAGAGCAGACTGAATACTTCACGAGAGGTGAGGAAAACCCCCCCCTCGATCACGTGATAGCCCGTGGACAGCAACAGCTCAGAAGCCGGCAGTATAACGAGTGACAAGCGAAAATTTAAGTAGTTTTGACAATCAAGACTTGACTGAGCACATAATATGTACATCCTACCTCACAACATAAGCTACGTCAAATAACAATATAAGGCAATTACATTTGCGATTTAGCTTTTATCGCAAATATAAGCAATATAAAAATTATATGAAAAGATAATATACATTATATATATACATATAATCATTGTAACCCATTCAGGGGTTGCAACACCCCCCCCCCCCCCAACACGACAGAGGGTCGCACTAGGAGTTGCATTAATGTCTTTTCACATTATTCTGATTACTCATATCAATACAATTTAATATAATATTAATCAGTCTCTCTTGTGCCAAGCACCTCTACAATTTCACAGCGTCCGTCACTAGGATATGCCCCTAGTACTAGGGCAGTACACAGTATCGTATCTCTGCATACTCGTGGTTATGTACATCAGTTGAGAGACAGGATAGCGCTGACAAGAGGGCACGTTGAGGCTCGATCATAGTAAGGAGACTGCTTTCCACTCTTAAGTAGTGGTTGTGGAATGCGAGGCAGTATGAACATCTGAGTATGAAACAGCTTAATTAAGGTGTGTATTTGAAGGGGGGGGGTCTGCAGCAGGACAGTTTGCGTCACGCAGTACCTCGCCCAAAACGACACTACCCATCAACACTCAGCTTATGTCTCCTTACACACAATACTGTGAATATATAAATATAATAATTAGACATGAGTATATATAGTTAATATGGGCTGGAGGGATTAAGTTACTTTACTGAATTTGACATAGCAAGTAACAAAAGGTATTTGGCATTAAAATTACGTTAATTTAATGTAACTGATAATTATTAAGGACGAGACAGAGCGTCAGCAATTACATTACAATGACCACTTATGTGTTTTATACTAATAGAATAAGGTTGGATTCTGAGGGCCCACCTCATGATCCTATCATTTTTACTTTTCATAGGTTTATGTAGGTGAGTGGATTGTGGTCTGAAAAAACTTAATTTAAATGGGAAGTGCCCAAATACCCCGTCAAAATTTTCCCCAAGGACACCACAAGAGCTAGAGCCTCTTTCTAAATAGTGGCATAATTTTTCTGGTGTCGTTTAAGCTTAGATGAATAGTAACATATAGGATGGGAATATCAGTGGATGTTGACTGTTGGAGCACACAGCACCCACTGCATAGCCACTCGCATCTATATGTAAAAAGAAGGGAAGATTGAAATTAGGACTCTTCAACACAGGAGCAGAGGATAGCAAGCGCTTCAACCTTTTGAACGAGTCTGAACAATCTCTAGTCCAGGTGAACTGAGTTTTGCTACTAGTAACTCAGTGAGAGGAGCGCAATCTGAGAAAAGTTTGGACAGAACCTGCGATAAATCCTGCCATACCCAGGAATCTCTGTACCCCCTTCCTATCCGTGGCACTGGAAATTCAGAAATTGCACGAACCTTAGCCTCAATAGGAAAAACCTCCCCTTTGGGCCCGATACAAAAGCCTAGAAAAGGTAATCTTGGCTTGACCAAACTACATTTAGCTAAGTTAACAGTGGAAGTTGTAGTGCGCCAGTCTCTCAAACAATGCTCTGAGACGCGTCAAGTGCTGTTCCCACTCGTCACTGTACACCACTAAGTCGTCAAGGGTAGGCTTCTACTCCTTCTAAGTTGTGGGTCAACTCGTTCATTATACTTGGAATAAAGAAGCCGCGTACATAGGCCGAAGGGGTGACGAGGTAGTTAAACAATCCATCTTGAACAGTAAAAGCAATATTTCTTGAGCACGTTCAGTAAGGGGGACTTGATAATAGCCTCGTAAGAGATCTAAACGGCTGACAAACTGGCTCCTGACACACGATCAATAAGGTCGTCAATGCGAGGTAGAGGATAACCATCAGCAAGGTGACAGAGTTCACTTTCCTGTAATCAGTGCACATCCTGAAACTACCGTCAGGTTTAGGCACTAAAATACAGGGAGATGCCCATGGACTTTTACTGCGCTCAATAAGTCCCGTGAGATAACAGAAAATCAACCTCTTCTCTCAATGCTTATGCTTTTGTAGGCCCTCATCCTAAAATGGTGATTGCTTAATGGGTGATGCCCCCTGTACATCAACGTCATGTAAAAACCTAGAGTCCCACTTTTTAGGAACATCACTGAAAAATTTCAGGGAAATGCAAAATCATTTTTTTTAATATCACCAGCTTTAAATCAATCCCAAGGTTACTAAGAAAATCGTTCTAGTGACTGTAGAGTCCACTGAATTTTCTAAACGCACCTCTATAACCTCAAAGAAAGGGTCAGGTAGACTGACTTTTTCTTCCTGTCCTAGGAAGAATAGATTAGTAGTAGAGGACTAGCGTAGTAATGTCTTAAGCTGGTTAACAGGGTACAAAATGATTAGATTTCTTTTCCCAGGCGTACGTACCAAATAATTTACGTCGCTAACCCTTTTTCCAACTTCCAGGGGACCATCATACCTGGCTTGTAGAGCATGACCTGGTACTAATTTCCGAGCCATCACCTTATCTCCTGCTTTAAAAGAGCGAGAGACAGCACGCTTGTCATAATGTGCTTCATTCTAGTTTGGGGCTGAAACTAGGTTTTTCTGGGCAGCTGTCAAATTTTTGCTGCATTAATGAAGGTGAAGTACTCAATGATATTTGATTTCCTGTCCACAACGCCCTTTCAACCACTGCAAAGGGGACCACGCACTTGGTGTCCCGAATATTAATTCAAAAGGACTAAACCCAACATTTTCTTGCTCACTTTCTCTCATAGAGAACAGAAGAAAAGGTATACCCTCATCCCATCTCTAGAAAAATGTCACAATAAGCTCTAAATCATGGACTTCAGGTCTGATGAAACCTCTCTAGAGCACCTTGTGACTGTGGATGATAACTGGTTGAAAGTACAGACTTTATTCCTAGGTGGGATAATGCTTCTCGAAAGATCTTAGAAGTGAAATTAATCCCTGATCTGATTGTATCTCTCGTGGCAATCCAACCGGGGAGAAAAATTTCATCAGCGCTCTCACAATAGCACGAGCATTAATTTTCTCATAGGAATAGATTCGGGATAGGGGTGTTGCAGCGTCCATAATAGTAAATAAGCATTGGTTTCCAAGTTTGGTTCTAGGCAAAGGACCAACACAATCAATAATAAGATGTGAGAATGTTCACCTGCACGGTGATAGGAATGAGAGGTGCAGGTGGGGGTGTGTGCGCTGGCTTGCTTGTCACTTGGCACATGTGGCAACGTCGCACATGATCAGCTACTGTTTCCTTTATCTTTGGCCAAGAAAAAATTTTTGGGCCAGTTTACCGAGTGTCTTCTTGACACCCAAATGTCCTCCTATGGACTATTGTGAGAAAAATTTCAATGCTTGTTCACGAAATGTAACTGGTAACACTACGAGATGCTTGACTGTGGTGGAAACACTATCAGCTGACAACTTACATGTATTTTTCTCCATCAGTACACCATTACTATAATAGTAACAATTATCGAGATCCTTTGCTTCACTCTCAGTAACTGCTATAACTCTCACTCTTTCCAGTGACTGATCAACAAACTGATCCTTGATTAAATAAATCATGAGTTAGAAATTTTAAACGTCAGTTGTGTCCTGACTGGGTTGATGACCGGGGGAGTTGGTGTTAATGACCCTGGGCACAGAGCATCACTAAACAACATATTCAACCCCAAATCATTGTCATCCACTAACTCAACAGGAGACAAGGATGGTTGTTGTATCTTTGACATACTCTAGTAATTGCGCTGAGAGGAAATAAAATAGGTTTTTCTCTCTACAAGCTTCCAATGGAAATAATTATCATCAGTGTTATTATCGATCACAAGTGGTTCTTTACATATACCACATGAAGGATATCGTTCCCTATCAACAAGTCCACTGACCTGATGGGAAATACACCACGGGATATACCCACCGAAATATAACCAGTATAATAGCTTGTTTCAATGTATACCTTGGAAGAGGTACTTTTATAACAGCCCCCATAGGTTTCTAACAATACATCTATCTTGCAATAGGTAACATCTGTTATGGCAGTACATCTTCTCTTAATAATGTGAGATAACTGCCAGTGTCTCTGAAAGTAATTATCTCAGTTAGATGTGATTCATCAAATCCTACTTTACCTCTCGAAAATTTAAGGACTCATCGCTGAACAAAATTCTTTCGTCAGATACACTCTCTGACCTAGTCATCTATCCTGAGTAACATTATCTAAAACAGTAAGATAAAGGTATTCCTAGGATTTTGGTGCCTTTGTTGCTCGGAAGAGGATACGACTTGAGTGGGGGCGCCAGCCGCTCGACTGCTTCTCGTATCTCTTTCTAAGTAATAGCAATACTCTCTAGCATGTCCTTTTCTGTTACACTATGTACATTTAACTTTCTTCTTCTCAATATCAGATTTCTCTCTAACCACAGAGACAGATTAAAGGATTAGAGTTTTCCTGGTAAAGGTACGAGAAGTTACAATAGCAGGTACATCAGGCCGGCAATGAGCAGCTGATTTAAGTTGCCAACTTCTAGGACAATTTTTAGCTACCTTGTTTCTCTGTTTTTTAGTACCAATTTTGGGTGAGAAATCTCGTAATTGTCTGCTAATGCTGCAGTTTCCAGAATATCCAGGTAGTATGATCGATCAGATATTCTTGTATGTCAGCAGAAAATACAGTTGTTAAACTCTTCGGTAGTAAAAACTGAACAAGGCTGTCGTAGTTGTTACACTTGGCAGACCTACCCCCACCTCTCAAATGCAACTTTTTTTCTCACGAGCAAACTCTACACAAGTTTGATCTTGTCGCGTTGTAACGAAACGAAATGCGCTTTGATAACTTACAGGTAACATTATATTTTCTCTAGAATAGTTCGTTTGGACAGCGTCATAACTAAAGTACTTGGCAAATGGTAAAGCAGCAGTACATTTGAGCTCTTCCTGTCAAAGTTTGTGTGCAACAAGGTCGCCCAGTGCTTACGTGGCCAGTTCTAGCACGAGCCTGGTTCTCAAATACTTCAAAATGGGTGTCTAAGTCACTCTTCAAAAAAACTTGGGAACCATAGGGGCAGCTTTCTGCACATTAAATGTGCCCTTGGGATCTATCAGTCTGTTGGTTTTTCCCAGACAAAACATTTTCTCTCTGGAAATCTTCTTCATTCAATTTCCTCTGAGCCTCTATTTGTGCAGTCTGCAACATAATGAGGCATTCAAACCTCTCAAACTGTTCCTGAGAGATAGGACCAGTTGGTAATGGAGGAGTAAGGAATCTAACGTGGTCTGGACGGTCTTTTGGTCGTGCACCTTGTCCGCCGTCTCTTGAGAGTCTAGATCTGGTCTATGATAAGTATATACAGGTGTAGCATACACTGTACTAGTATGTGGCTGCATCATCCTACCAGCTACACTCTCTACTATTGTGTCAGTGAGGCGGTAAGGTGTGAGTGGAGGTTCACTAGGCTCAGACTCTAGGCTCACTTCTGCCTTAGTTGCTCTTTCTTCTACTTCATCAAATAGAGTCATACTTCCTAATTGTGACACTAGGCTTTCTGAATCTGAATCATAATTAGACATTTCTGTATGAGCAGGAAACGATATATCTTTAATTAATGCTCTGACAGTTTCTGCGGTGTAATTCCTGTTATACGCCACACCGAATATTTGGCTACTCGCCAACACTCTGAAGTTTTAATGTACTTAACTCAGAAAAAGTCAGAGTATCAATTAACTGTTTACTTTGGCATAAAATCACGAAAATAATTGTACTACGAGAGAGTGATTATGGGAAACTATAATCCTGATGGGAATTTTAGTGTTGGTTGTCTTAGAGCTAGAACTCATAAACAGTATTTCCATCTCCTTGGATCAAGAGAATCAGTCAGGTACATACATCCACCTGGTATGTTGTGTACAAGACTAAACTCAAAGTCTTCATTAGGAAAGTACTCAAAGTGTTTGATCATCGAGTTACTAGTATGTCAAACTGGACAACCTCTCCAACACCTTGGATCAAGAGCATCCCGGACAGGCCCCCATTTGTTACAAAAAACGCGATTCTAAAAGCTTAGAGATCTCCAGTGAATACTAGAAAGGACTCCCCTTTCTAGCATCCAGCCTGTTTCAGGGTTTTCATAACAAGTATCAGTATCCTTGTCCAATTATCCATTAGAATTCAGTATGATTCAATAGTGCTTCAGGATTACAACTGGTAGGCTACTAACTAGAGAAAATAAAATTTAATAAATTTATTAAGTCTAGAGTATATTATCAAATTAAATTAAATTAAAATTTAAAATCACGGTAATCAAAATATCACTTCCCCTCAAGTACAATATTATTGTGCTGAAAGCACATATCACATTTATAATTCTTAAGTACCGTCTGGTACATTAACATTTATTAAGATATTACAAATATGTACAAGTAAGTATGTATGTGTGTAAGTGCTCTAAGTAGTTCGTTATGTCTCATGACTCGCCCTAACTTAAACAAGTGACTGACGAAGTCCTCAAATAAACAAACTTCTTGACCAACGGGCAGCAGAACAGTCTGCTTGAAAATAAAAGAATGCTAATCCCAATAGCAATATAACAAGCAACTGCGACACAGAATCAGGATCAAGGAGATAATATAACGACACTTAGTAGGGACCATCAGCAATTCTCCACAAAAGTCACAAACCCCATACTATGAATCTAATTCAGTATAAGAAAATCCCCGACTGTGATAATACACAGATACCAGTACAAGTTAAGTGAGAAGTTACAGCTCAGGACCTGAGCTACTCAGAGTGTCTATGAGACACACAACCTCAGTACAACGTCGAAAATCACTAAGTCTATACAATGTTCTGTGAACAGAGTTCTACAGAACTAACAAGAATAATGAGACAGTCAATCTGTCCAACCACCAAGAGAGTCTAGACCAGACTGAATACTTCAGGCGAGGTGAGGACACCCCCCCCCTCGATCACGTGATAGCTCCTTGAACAGCTGTAGCACAAACAAAAGCCGGCAGGGAAACGAGCAAAGCGATAATTACAGTAGTTAGACAATCAAGACTTGAACTGAGCACATAATATGTTACATCCTACCTAACAACAGGTAACTAAGTCAAATAATATTATAAAGCAATATATTCACGATTTAGCTATTATCACAAATATAAGCAGTATAAAATTGTATGAAAAGGTAATATACATTATATTCATAATCTTAATATACATTATATATATTGCAACACATTCAGGGGTTGCAACACTGTCCTGTCCTTGCTACTGTTCACGATTAATACGCGTCCGGTTTCAGAATAAATCCTGTAAACTGACATATATGGAGCGTTTTTTATTCACATTTTATAATACACTGCGTAATATACAGTATCATCAGAATCCCGCCATAAATATTACCTTGCTCACATTCCAGCAGCACTTACAGTAGCAGAAACCACTTGCCTCCACTAATGCCTATGTAACGCTCACACATGCCTGTTGGATGTCCAAGACCCTTTACATACAAAACCTTTTTTTATCCTCTAACCTCCAAACCCTTTTCCTTGACGATCCCTAACCCTTCCTTCCGTCGACTTCAGATTTATATTTTCTTTTTAAATCATCCTATTTTGCTTTATACTCTATAAATGTCCACACAACATCAACACTTCATTCTCAGCTCTCTAGTAATACATATAATAACCCAGAACTTCCTCTTAATCTCCAAACAACAACTTCTCTGTATAATATTCACACCACATATTTCTGTTAGACATGACATTGTCCCAGCTCACTGCAAAAGTGTTGCTAACCACTGTAGTCTGATATGTGCTTTGTTTCCATAGGTGCCTCAATGCTTCCAGCCACTTTTTTTCTGGTAGTCAATTTTATGGCTCACTTTATCCCTTTTACAGACTCATGTGCGAACAATTTCGCTCCCAAATATCTTAACACATTCACTTCTTCCATACTGCTTCTTTCCTGTCTGACGCCCAGTCTTTCATTACTTATTTTTTTATTTTTTACTTTTTATCGCCTGACTCCTTCTTATGGTCACTCTCTTTTTTTTCATAGCCTCCCAAATTCACCTGCCAACATTTGCAAAATTTTCATCAGAATTTTTCTCCACAAGCACTGACTCATCGGGTAACAGCAACTACGACAAGTCTCTCTTTGTATTAGATTATTCATCTTTTGAACTCACGCCTCTCGCCAACAGTTTAGTATTCACATCTTATACAGCTTCATTTATAATTATGTTAAACAATCATGGTGAAATCATGCATACCTGTCTAAGGCCTATTACACACGGTAACCCGAGCCTCACTATCCTCACAAAAACTATTGCAACATTTGGCACGTTGCTCTTTTATCCACCCTATCATTTACCTCTACTAAATCCATAAATCCATTTCTTTATCTAAAAATTATTCAGTTACAGGCTTCAATTGCTCTATATATTCCCTACCCTTCCTAAAGCCTTGTTTTTCTATGATCCTGCTCCGTCTTATACTTAATTAGTTCACTAATAACTCCACCTGACACCTAGCAAAATCGACAGGTTTATTCCCTTATAGTTTTTCACACTCTCTTATATCTTTATTTCCTTTATTCAGAGGAACTATGGACTCTCTCTTCCAGGCTATAGGTAATTTCCCTCTTTCATCCATTTGTTGAAAAAATATACAAACCACTCCAAAACTATAACCCAACCTTCGTTTTGCCATTTATGTCTTCATCCCATCAGTCCCAAGTTCCTAACGTCATTTCTAGTATTGCCCGGGTGGCCGTCCTGAGAGGCAGTACTGCCCTGGTGGCCGTCCTGAGAGGCAGTACTGCCCGGGTGCCGTCTGAGAGGCAGTACTGCCCGGGGGCCGTCCTGAGAGGCAGTACTGACCGGGTGGCCCTCCTGAGAGGCAGTACTGCCCGGGTGGCCGTCCTGAGAGGCAGTACTGCCCGGGTGGCCGTCCTGAGAGGCAGTACTGCCCGGGTGGCCGTCCTGAGAGGCAGTACTGCCCGGGTGGCCGTCCTGAGAGGCAGTACTGCCCGCGTGGCCGTCCTGAGAGGCAGTACTGCCCGGGTGGCCGTCCTGAGAGGCAGTACTGCCCAGATGGCAGTCCCCGAGAGGCAGTACTTCCCGGGGGTGCCGTTTCTGAGAGGCAGTACATGCCGGTGGCCGTCCTGAGAGGCAGTACTGCTCCGGGTGGCCGTCCTGAGAGGCAGTACTGCCCGGGTGGCCGTCCTGAGAGGCAGTACTGCCCGGGTGGCCGTTTTGAGAGGCAATACTACCCGGGTGGCCGTCCTGAGAGGCAGTACTGCCCGGGTGGCCGTCCTGAGAGGCAGTACTGCCCGGGTGGCCGTCCTGAGAGGCAGTACTGCCCGGGTGGCCGTCCTGAGAGGCAGTACTGCCCGGGTGGCCCTCCTGAGAGGCAGTACTGCCCGGGTTGGCCGTCCTGGAGGGAGTACGCCCGGGTGGCCGTCCTGAGAGGGGGTAAATGCCCGGGTGGCCGTCCTGAGAGGGAGTACTGCCCGGGTGGCCGTCCTGAGAGGCAGTACTGCCCGCGTGGCCGTCCTGAGAGGCAGTACTGCCCGGGTGGCCGTCCTGAGAGGCAGTACTGCCCAGATGGCAGTCCTGAGAGGCAGTACTTCCCAGGTGGCCGTTCTGGAGGGCAGTACTGCCCGGGTGGCCGTCCTGAGAGGCAGTACGCTCGGGTGGCCGTCCTGAGAGGGGAGTACTGCCCGGGTTGGCCGTCCTGAGAGGCAGTACGCCCGGTGGCCGTTTTGAGAGGCAATACTACCCGGGGGGCCGTCCTGAGAAGCAGTTTCTGCCCGGGTGGCCGTCCTGAGAGGCAGTACTGCCCGGGTGGCCGTCCTGAGAGGCAGTACTGCCCGGGTGGCCGTTTTGAGAGGCAATACTACCCGGGTGGCCGTCCTGAGAGGCAAGTACTGCCTGGGTTTGGGCCGTCCTGAGAGGCGGTACTGCCCGGGGGGCCGTCCTGAGAGGCAGACTGCCCGGGTGGCCGTCCTGAGAGGCAGTACCCGCCCGGGGGGCCGTCCTGAGAGGCGGTACTGCCTGGTGGCCGGGCCTGAGAGGCGGTACTTGCCCGGGTGGCCGCCTGAGAGGCAGTACTGCCCGGTGGCCGTCCTGAGAGGCAGTTTCTGCCCGGGTGGCCGTCCTGAGAGGCAGTACTGCCCGGGTGGCCCCTTTTGAGAGGCAAAAACTACCCGGGGGGGCCGTCCGAGAGGCAGTACTGCCCGGGTGGCCGTCCTGAGAGGCAGTACTGCCCGGGTGGCCGTCCTGAGAGGCAGTACTGCCCGGGTGGCCGTCCTGAGAGGCAGTACTGCCCGGGTGGCCGTCCTGAGAGGCAGTACTGCCCGGGTGGGGCCGTCCTGAGAGCAGTACTGCCCGGGGGGGCCGGTCCTGAGAGGCAGTACTGCCCGGGTGGCCGTCCTGAGAGGCAGTACTGCCCGGGTGGCCGTCCTGAGAGGCAGTGTTAGGTCTCTCAAGGAACTGGGAATCGCTCGAATCTTCAAATAACATACACTAAAGTGCGTTCGAGACTGCTTGACTTTATTGGGTTATCCAGTGGTTTAAACTACATAATAAACTTCTATGTGCCCATAGCATGTGTGTGCCCTAAAAACAATTGAAAAAAAAATGTATTTATATAACTTTGATTTCGGTCTGTGTAGGCCTAAATTTGCCTCTTTTAATGGAAAAATTTGGGATCAATGAAATGCTGATTTTGGCGATAATTTTTGAGTGTCTCATTTGAAGGTCTTAATTATTTTAAAGCTGAGTGACCTTTAACTTAATGTACTGGTGTAGTTTATTATATAAGAACATAAGAAGGAAGGAAGACTGCAACAGGCCTACTGGCCTATGCGAGGCAGGTCCAATTCTTCCCTGGTTTAAGCCAATGCCTTGACCTAGTCAGATCAGGTCACATTCACTTAAGGAAGGAGCACGGCAACTGACCAAGTAGCACAAGCTAGTCAGGTCCAACTCACACCCACTTATACCCGCTCACGTATTTATTAAACCTATTTTTAAAACTACACAACGTTTTAGCCTGAATAACTGTACTCGGGAGTTTGTTCCACTCATCCACAACTCTATTACCAAACCAGTGCTTTCCTATATCCTTCCTGAATCTGAATTTTCCAGCATAAAACCATTGCTGCGAGTCCTGTCTATATTAGATATATCGGTCACTTTGAGATAACAAGATAATACCACTTCAGTTTAGCTTCAAACTTGGAGTTTCTTGGTGGAAGATCTAAATTAGTTTTGCGCACTTTATGTTGGAATTTGCGACCTAAAGTCAGTATCTGACCAGCCGGGCTGTGGTTCGTACGTTGGACTGCGTGCGGCTAGCAGTAACAGCCTGGTTGATCAGGCCCTGGTATACCATGAGGCCTGGTCACAGACAGCGCCGCGGGGGCGTTGACCCCAAGAACTCTCTCCAGGTATACTCCAGGTATAAGTTTCCACGTGATAAATTTTGAATGACTCGTCTGATTTGTTTCAGATCTTCAGGACAAACATTAACGGTATTGATAAATAAAACTTGGGAATTTATTCTGGAAACATATCGGCACTCAGTGGCTTCTCATCAAATGCAGAGAAACAATGGAAGATGAGTAATGTGAGGTAATTATCCCTCAACGTTGAGTCATAAGTTCAGTCCATCAGTCTTGTGTTCAGTCCCTGATGGATCTTTCCATGATGTAAAATTATGTCCTGCAAGAACAAATTAAAGTGTCCCACTTAGTAAAACATTAGTGTGATTTAAGAAATTTGATGTGACATGTTCCAGGTATCTGTACGTACTTAATAAAAGGTGACTGGAAAACTTTCGAATGTTTTAAAAGTAAACATATCTGAAGAATTAGTTAGGAAAATATTAGTAATATTTATCATTTTTAAGAGGATTTTCTTTCTAAGTAACCCCAACTATGGTGTTAATGTGACAATAGTGAGATTAATGTACATAATCTATGTTAGATTCTTTTAAATGACAAGGCTGCGCACATGTTTTATTTTAGATAAACAAAATTCTCCCCGGCCTTGAACTTAATACAAAACGAAGCTTTCAGAATTATTCTTAGCTGCTTAAATCTATCAAAATTCTTAATATGAGGAAGGAGATTGGTTTTCTCTAGTGCAAAGTGAAAATATTATTGAGATTGCTATTGGACTTAGTATTAGAATGTTAAGAATGAACCAGACATTCTCACTATGAATTTTACTAATAACTAGAAAACATTCAATTACATTGTTTCATAACTTGCACGAAATAGTATCAACTAGAGCATTTCAAATCCTGCCTGGAAGGTGTGTTTAATATTTCATACCTGCAAGTCCCTCCCAAGAAGTTTATCACTAGTAATCCCTTTCCTTAAATCACTTTCCCAAGGAAAAAGCTCAATATAATTTCTCGCCTACTCAGAGTAATAATTTATCACCA